ATTGCACTATGCGCCGCGTCCTGAGGCGCAACGACAAGATTTGCGAGCACTGGCATCAAGTCAAGCAGACCCAAACGAGTTTCAAACCATAGTTATTATCCACACATCCTGGGATGTTGGCCAAAGGGTCATCATGGCAGCACGTTTAGTTGAAACTTGTTTCCAATTAACTTCAAACTGGCGCCCGCGTCTCCAACCACATGCTCAGAACGCTGCACTGCAACTATCAAAAACCAAAGCACCTTTTGCAAACTTGACTTAACAGATTTCTCGAAAAAAGTAGACTCAGACTCCCGGAAGGAACCTGGATGATGGGCATGTTCATCGAAAAATTAAATGAACAGAATCTAATCGCAACCCTGCGTTGGACTGAGGACTCTTGATTTGACCGGTTGAGACATCGTTACAACACGCCGGCTGCAAATGCTCGGCAGATCGCAGTTAAGCCCTGCATGGCTCCCATTGCACGCTGAGCATGAAGGCTGGGTGTGTAGCCATATCATGTGCAATAGATTTGCTGCGTGAGTTGGTTCACACGTGATTGCATTGGGGTATAGCAATGAGTTACCAAACAGCAGTTTCGCTTGCATGTTGCTTCGGCACCAGCCTAACGCACAAACTGAATTGCTCCCTCCCCTGCAGCCCGAAAGTTTCGAGCTGTTTGCGTTCCCCCCTTCATTTTACCTGCTTTTTTCCGCCCTGGCCCCTGCCCCCCTCCCTTTTCCTTCTGTTTTTCGCCCCCCCCCCCCACCCCCCCCCCGCCTCCCTCTGCTCTCCTCCTTACCACTCTCTTTCTGCCCTTCTGCTGCCCCCTCCCTCCCACTTCTGCATCCGCTCTGCTCTTTCGCATTACAGAAGCAAGTCCGAGGCGGGCGGCAGCGTTAAAATTACAATGCCAGCTTTGTTCAACATCTTGGAAGGGAACTCAGCCAAACCTTGCGTATCAAATGTAGGCAAATTCTGGAGCCATAACGGCCGTCAGACATAGACACGACGCGAAGGAAACTGGGGAAATTCGAAAGTCCAACGTATTATCACTCCAGGAACTTGTCAACACTCTGTGGCACGTGGGCCCTCTTGGAAGAGCTTGGAATGCCAAGCGGCCAAATGGTCAATGCACATGCTGTCTACAAATCATAGCAACTTCCGTTGGCAGCCGATTCAAACCAATTATTTCACGTGCACCCCAAACGTCTTCTAGTTTCGTGTTCGACTATTTGTATCTTTCCGCAGCTGGGGCTTTCTCTGCAAAGAGTTTGTCTGTCGCTTCTGCGAAACTCATGCAAGCACCCCTGAAAACTGATAGGTACAACTGCGTAACCGAACACCATTGGAAATCGTCAGTTCCCTGAAGCGGGACCCTTGCCTAAACGCGACTTTTTGAAGACTTGTTTGTACATGTCAACCACTGCATGTTCTTTGCAAGCATTCAGGCATGAGCAAAGCAGCATACATCAGACAGTTGATCAGCTGGCATGCTGCAAACGGCCACGAGATGCCACGAATGTATGCCACCGTATATTTTGCTACGAATGAGCAATTGGGCTTCGACAGTTGCACTTAACTCGACTGTCAATGAACAGCATGGGCGCGAATTTTCCACACTCACATCGAAGCTTGTCTTCTTCAGGGCTGGTTTCGAATGAAGCGTCATCCGCCCAATCTGGCCCGAATGCTGTCTTCGCATACACCTACGACGTTCGGTCCTACGGCCCTACGACCATCCTTCTCAGCATCTGGAAGTTCACGGAGCTCATCGACATGGCGCTGACGCCGCACGCTGAGGCCATCGATCATGAGATCCCCACATGCGATCGTCACCGGTCGCGGAGCAAGCTCAACACAACGACAACATCTCATCACGCTCTAGTCGGCTGACATGGCACTCGCACTGGCCCAATTCCACACGTTCTTCACGTTCTTCATGATTGAGTCCTCAACCGCAGCATCTATGTGGTCAAAGACGTAGCAGGCCCACCAAGTAGAACCGAGCTTCCACACATGCACTGCAGTTTGCGCTGTCCACCTGGTGTAGCAACGCATGCCCTGCTTCGCATGTCTCGTATTGTGAGCTATGCGCTGGAAGACGCTGCGATGCATGTCGTACAAGTGTGGGAAGGGCTCACAGTAGACCATGCAGCGACAGCCGTAAAAGTAATCGGCATCGTTCAAGCAATCCATCGCCAGCCAAGTCAACACTTGCTCTGCACAGTGTGCTTTGAAGTCAGTGTCGTGAATGCAAGTGAAGCACAACAGCATCACATCGAAGGTCAACTGCCAGAGCTCGCCGCTCTGTTCGGCATGCTTAGCCAGCGTCGTAACTGCTTCCGTAACAGCACTTGGGTTCGCGTGCCACCAACGGCCAAGCGCAGCAGGATGGAACAACCGCCGGAAACCTCGGGAAAGTGATGCACTCCGAAACATTGCCACAGCATGTCACAGAAGTATCCACAATTGTGGGCACATCGAAACGCACCACTCACTGCAAATGCTGCTGCAAACTCCCCGCTCCCCGCGGCCTTCGCAGGATGCTCGAAGCTGCTCATCAATCTGCATCTTCTGGTCCCCGCCCAAGGATTCCATTCGAAAGAGTTTCACTTTGCCCAGGTGAGTATACACCAAACTTTTGTACAGGTCAGTCCCCTCTGGGAGAGTATCTGCACGAAGTCGGTGGCAAGCCATGTAGGTGTCAGGCCTCATCTACTGACTTGCAAATCAGTCTTGGTAGGTGTTCAAGTGGCCGAGCCTGCGCTGGGTAACAGCTACCAGGTGCTCCACGAACACCTGATACATGTCAAAGTTGATGCAAGCTGGTGTAGGCATAAGCTCTGACGAGGGATGCTGGCCTTGGTGTTAGACAGCTCTCGGCAGCTTACCCGGAAATGTGTGAAATCTGGCACCTGAGCCGTGGTTCAGCAGTGGGGCCAGCGCCAGCAGTCTCTAGCATGTTGTCTTGGCTCCAAGTTGCATCGAAGTACTCCGAAATTTGGGGCATCAGCTGCCTGCACCCGACGGACCCTTCACGGTCTACATAAATAGTGCTGACATTCAACTCCTGAATCGGGCTAGTAGCCATGGAAACTCCAGTCGTTGGGTGACATCGCCGAGCTTCTCGAGGCATGAGGGCACTTCCAAGACCTGACTCACTGGATCACATCGCCCTTGCGCGCTAGGGCAAGCACAGAACCCAACCGTTGGGATCCGAACCTGTGCTCCGATTGCCTCAAGCTCAGGCATGCATTCGCAAAAGCTGCGAAACCTGGATCCCAAGAAGAGCTTGCGCCTGATCGCCAAAGTCGATTTCACCAGCATCAACATGCTCGCAGGGCGCACAAGCCTGAGCAGGCCCAACGACGTCACCACTTGAAGTGAGGGAACTAGCTGCATCTGTTTAAGGGTCGGGCGATAAAGTTGTACACAGCAGAGAACATGTCGTAGATACCTTTGCGCATATGGTTTGGAAACTCCACACCAGATACATCGTGCAAGTTGCAAAACAGTAGAGCATCACCAAGTCGATCGCCGAAGTGGTCGCCCATGCCACCAGATACTGCGCCGCAGTCTTTGCTGCTGGATGGAGACGGGGAATGCTGAACATGGATCCAATGTATGTCATTAAACCTTCACAATTTTAATGCCCAAACAAGCATGGTTGCCATGGTAATTTGGACCCGGTATTGACCCATTGATGCTTGAGCTCTTGCTCATGAGACTCATGAGACGTTGTCGCTGAAACCAGAACTTCCGACCCATCGCTTGATTGGAGTTAGATATCATGCGCTTGACAACAGTGAAGGGAACATTTTTTACGATCTCAAAACAGATAAGGGGCAGCCAATGGCTTTGTTTTCAAGATCGCGAATTTCACTGGAAACTGGATTTGCTGCGTGAGTTAGTTCACACGTGATTGCATTGGGGCATAGCAATGAGTTACCAAACAGCCGTTTCGCTTGCATGTTGCTTCGGCACCAGCCTAACGCACAAACTGAATTGCTCCCTCCCCTGCAGCCCGAAAGTTTCGAGCTGTTTGCGTTCCCCCCTTCATTTTACCTGTTTTTTCCGCCCTGGCCCCTGCCCCCCTCCCTTTTCCTGCTGTTTTCCCCCCCCCCCCCCCCCCGCCTCCCTCTGCGCTCCTCCTTAGCACTCTCTTTCTGCCCTTCTGCTGCCCCCTGCCTCCCACTTCTGCATCCGCTCTGCTCTTTCACATTACAGAAGCAAGTCCGAGGCGGGCGGCAGCGGTAAAATTACAATGCCAGCTTTGTTCAACATCTTGGAAGGGAACTCAGCCAAGCTTTGCGTATCAAATGTAGGCAAATTCTGAAGGCCATAACGGCCGTCAGACATAGACACGACGCAAAGGAAACTGGGGAAATTCGCATGTCCAACGTATTATCACTCCAGGAACTTGTCAAAACTCTGCGGCACGTGGGCCCTCTTGGAAGAGCTCGGAATGCCAAGCGGCCAAATGATCAATGCACATGCTGTCTACAAATCATAACAACTTCCGTTGGCAGCCGATTCAAACCAATTATTTCACGTGCACCCCAAACGTCTTCTAGTTTCGTGTTCGACTATTTGTATCTTTCCGCAGCTGGGGCTTTCTCTGCAAAGAGTTTGTCTGTCGCTTCTGCGAAACTCATGGCAGCCGGACAGCCGTTTTTTTTCACACCCGGCTCCGCAAGTAATTAGCACGGGCAGCGCCACGTGCGGCTAGGCCCTTACAACACGGACATGTGGCGAAGCGGAGCCCACCTACCAGATCCTACCGGTATCATCCCGAACACCCTCATGCCACCCAAAGTGGCTGAAACGGAGAAACCAGCGCACCTCTGAAAGGTACGCCACGACGCCTTGCCCCTTGCCGCTGCCGTGTTCGGCGGGCGGGACAAGTCTAAAACGGAGCATCGGCACCGCAGAGGGTATCCGTACCTCCTTTGATGTAAACAGCTTGTTTGCGATCACTATTGCTATCACTCAATATTCACAGCACTGCCCAGATGCTAATGGCAGTTCATCACGGCTGTTTGCATTCTACGGACAATGCCCCTCCTCAGCTTCTCAGACTGCAGCTGCTGTGCTTTGGAGCCAACCGGCCCGCAGTCCTCAGCTGCAAACAGAACCACCCGGGAAAGGAAGCGTGCACGGCAATCCGGCGACCGCGTGACACATGCCAGGTCTCCGACAGGAAGAAAGAAGCCGCTCAGCAGATTCACTCCTGTGTGCAGTGTTGGATCGACCGGCTCCGGAAGATGGTTCCTGGGATGGCAATGCAAATCAACTTCCGGTCCCGCTGTGTCCACTGTCACGGACACTGCCGAGATTCAGTGGCATAGGCACTGAGTCAGAGCCTTCCTTCAAGGTCTCACAGCGTGGCTCTCCAGGCTTTACAAAACTCAGCCTACCTGGTCGTCATGATCCGTGGTGTTCGGTGCTTCTTCACTCGACAGCACCGAGCTCTCCTCTGTCGCTTCCTCCAGCAAAGAAGCCGCTCGGGGCGCGAGGTGAAACTCTTCGCAAGATGCAGTCGGCAAGCTGTGGGCGCAGTCCTCTTCTCGGGAGGAGCCGCTTGTAGTCTCCTGCAGGAACTCCTGCGCGTATACAAAACGACTGTGAGGGACAAGCTGCACGATGGGAAGCATCCTCGTGTTCCTTTCCTTGGATCCGGAGCATGGTCTGTCGGCCCTCTTCCAGGCGCTCCAAGTGTAGTTTCTGCAATGACAAGGCAAGCCGAGGCAGGCAGCTGAAGGTGTGGATGTATTTGATATGCTTTCTCTATGTCCATGCAGGAAGGCACGCTGCCTGCAGCTGCTTGTGCTGGTCGTTACACTTCTCTTTCAAGCGCTGGTTCTCCTTCAGGAGCTTGTGATAATGGGTGCTTGAGCTGCCTCTGTTCCGGATTAGGCCCGCCTCATCCAAGCGCATTCCGTGAGTCAGGAGCTTGCGGTAGCGGCGCTTCAACTCGTTCTTCTCCTGCACCGGGCCCTTCCCCCTCATTTTACAAGACATTCTGCACGTATTCTCAAAAACCACCGAAACATTTGCAATCTTCGAGCCTCCACAAGCGCTCGAACTTGTTCATCGTGCTTCTGTGCGCTCTTGGCGAGCTCCAGTTCCAGCTGCTCCCTTGGCCGGCAGCATGTTTCGCTGGAACAAGCATATGAATCTGAATTCCGACAGTCCTCAGCCTAAACTGGCCCAGGGGCACTCTCGTCCCGCGTCCGAGAGCCTCGACTATATCCAGAAGGCGTGTAACTTTGGCCTCCGCTTCGATCCTGGCCCAAGCGCCGTGCCCAAGAGGTGTGGAAAGTGGCGGCTTCGACTTCCAGGAATACTCGCCTGCGCGCAGTCTCCTCGTCCAGCTTGTCTTTCAGCCTTTTGAGATGCTCGTCACGGCGCTTTTCACCGCATTGTTGTCGCACCAGGATATCCATGCACTGGCGGTGGCCTACAGTGCACAGACGTGTTGAGCAACTCGAGGTGTACAGGACAGGGAAGCGTCTCTCGCGTATAAATAAACCGACAGTCGACCTGCGGCGTTCCTGATTGCAGCCTCAAGCGCGGGAACGCCACCCCGACATCGAACCCTCGTCCTCAGCAAAGGCTTGCTCCAGATCTTGGGCTGATGCAAGGTGAGCTGCTTCCATGTTTGCCTCGGCGGCTCAGGCGTACTCAAGAGGTAGGCAAGAAGGACTCCTATAGACCAGGTCGTAGACAAACGCAAAAAGACCTCGCGCTCTCAGCACGCCACTTCTGCTTTTTGATCTTCCGGCTCAGCGGGCGGCGTCCTCTCCATCACAGACCTCTCATCGACCAATGAGCCGACCAGATTGCTCGGATGGTAGGCAGACCTGCATTCTCCAAACAAACCAACTCCGCCCAGGCACTTCAGTTGGAGTTGGAGTGCCGTGGTCCGTCTCCAGAGCCGGGCAAGCTGCTGCAAGAGGAGCAGGCAGTCTAACTCCGCGACTCAAGCTTTCTCTGCAAAGAGTGTGTCTGCGCTTCTGTGTGGCAGCCTCTTCGAGTGGCTGATACTACCAAATCATGGGGATCTCCAGGCACCACGGGCCTACGAAATTAAGCCTTGAAACTCTGAATACGTCTCCAACGCCCAATGCTTACGACTGGAGTGCAGGACACTTCCGCTTGAAGTCTGTCAATGCCGACTGTTTCAGGTTCAAAGAAGCCAGCGAAATGTGAGCCTTGCCCCTGGTTGCGTTCCAAAGCTTGAAAGGTACATCTATGCCTGTCTGATGGCTTGTTTACAATTCTCATAAGCAAGTTCTACTGACAGCCTTCATTGCACACACACCACTCCAATATCGAAGCCAGCCGAATGCGCGCACTGTAATTCCAACCAGCAAAGAAGGTGCCTTTTTTGAAACCGGACTTGATGACTGCCAGCACTGCCCTCTGCTGCTCTTCAGCCGAGGCCCGAAAACCGCAACACCGCATCATTCCACTCCGAAGAGCAAGCACTCCAAGTAACGACCACCGAATGTCGATGCCACATCTCCCTGATTACACGCGGAATGTCCAAGAGCACACAATCCTGAATGTCCTGATGCACCTGCACGTTCAGGACAGTTCTACACCACGCAACACCAAAAGGCTACGAGGCTACTGCGAAGCTACAAAGCGGAAGCAAAAGTCGACAGTGGCTTCACTCGCACTTCTCTCCTTTTTCGGCTTGCCGGAGTACGACTGCTCTGCAGGTTGAAAGCTGCTCTGTGAAAGTTCCGGGGTCTTTGACCTTCCGGATCGAAAGCTGAAGCAGCGGAGCAGTCGAAAAGCCCGTATCGTTAAGCATTGATAGGAAGAAGAACAGCAAAGTGTACAAAAGCCAGCAGGAAAGCGAAAAGCTGGACTGTATGTGATAGCGGGCTGCGACGTAAAAGCTCCCGGTGCTGAAAGCAAGCCCCCAAAAGGTGTGGGCGGGCGGGAAAGTTTTAGAAAGCAAGCTGCTGTTGCGTGGTGTATGCTTGAACCCAAGCGGGGCAGCGGGGTAAGAACTGCCGAAACAACCCTGAGTAAACACAGGAACCGTTCAGGACAGTTCTACACCACGCAACACCAAAAGGCTACGAGGCTACTGCGAAGCTACAAAGCGGAAGCAAAAGTCGACAGTGGCTTCACTCGCACTTCTCTCCTTTTTCGGCTTGCCGGAGTACGACTGCTCTGCAGGTTGAAAGCTGCTCTGTGAAAGTTCCGGGGTCTTTGACCTTCCGGATCGAAAGCTGAAGCAGCGGAGCAGTCGAAAAGCCCAAGCACGAAACTGGCAAGCCGAAACCTCGCAAGACGCTCTAGAAGCCAAGTGGAGAAGTGAGGTGAGGAAGCTTCAAAGCACAGCTACTTGCGCTTATTGGAGCCTCGGTTTGTCGGGCCCAATCTGGTGGCTGAAGGAAGCTGCCACTTCAAAAAGGTATCAGCTGGAAAGAGCTTCACTTGAAAGCGGATCTGCCAGAACTCAGAGAGGTAAAGCTCAATGCGGTTTGATGGCAGAAACTTGGCCGGAAGTTCTGCGCAGCCGTCCCACCGCGAAAGCAGGTCTGCATCGTCGTTCTTTTCGCCAGCAATGTGGCTGCAGTCCAAAGTGACACCGGTAATGGAGCTCCACATCGAAAGCTTGCGAACGAAAAGATTAAGTGGTACTTTGGAGGTGTAAAGTTTGTTACACACCGATTCAGCGCCACTATTATCGCTCAAAGCTGGTAATTTCAAAGCCAAGCGGCCAGAACCATGGGCTTTCCAGAAAGCGAGAAGAACGTAGCACTGTGCCAACGTCTCATAGCTGGAAATGTCCAAGTTGGCGTCAGGCTGCATTGGCAGACCGAGCTCCAGGAAGTCCTGCACGGTGTAGCGATGCGAAAACCAAAGCAGGCGGCCACATGGGAGAAGGAGCCATCCCCCGACGCCGCAGTCGTTGCCTTTGCCGAAGGCATCGGCTGCTGATTCCACTGAGCTCGTAGGTGGTGGTCTAAGCGGCCGTGGACGCCAGTCCCTGGAGCTCAAGTGGGCAAAGAAAGAAAGTGTTTCTCTGCTGGATTCTGAGAGGCGTCGCTTGGATGAAGTGGGGTCCGTAACCCGAAGCCACATGCGTTTGGTGCTTACCGGGACCAAAGCGAGATCAGCCTTGCTGTGCAATGTTTTGTGGCGAGCTGACAACAAAGTGGACCCTTCTGAAATGCTGGTGCCCGGCGGTTTACCAGTGAAGCGGAGCTTGTCGTCCAAGTATGTATGAATACCTGGCCAAAGGCATGGGCTGATGCTTACGTTCGTCCCAAGTGGTCTATGCATGTCATCGTAAAGTGTGCACAACCAGGGTCGTAAAGCAGGAAGCCCATGCAGAATCCACTGGAGGAGACCGAGAAGTTTGTCAAGCTGTTTGCGGCTGACAAGTCGGTGCCGAAGGCATTCCTCCACCTGGGAAAGCAGCTTCAAGCGTTTGGCGTCGGGAAGAGTGTAACAGCCGGCATGGAAATCTAACTGCCACCCTATCCAAGTTATAGAAGGGCCCATCTGTAGTTTGCGCCAGCTAAGCGGTATATTGAAGCAGGAGCAGAAAGCCAAAACCAGGGAAGCGCTGAGGGGTAGTGCGCGAGCGTTTTGCCAAAGAAGCAGATCATCTACGTATAACATGAGGACATGGGCTATCCAAATAAGTAGATGTAAGCAGCGCACAAAGAAGCCTCCCAAGCGGGCAAACCAGTGGCTTGAAAAAGTGGCCCCGAAGGGACAGACACGGTAAAAGAAGAGGCGGTCCTGCTGTCTGAGGCCAAGCAGACCTCTGTCTTGCTCCCGCACAAGTGATGTTTTGTGCGCTCCCTTAACATCTAAGCTGAAGCCGGAAGCGGGCTCCGCATCCTCGCGCGGCGGGAAAGCGGTCTGTATATCCTGAAGGCAAGGTAGGGAGAACTGTTCTGGTACATCGCAGTTCTGGTTGGTGTTGCAAATGCTGTTGTCGATGACCAAGCGGGGAGCGCGGCCTGGAGCTTTAACGATGTTGACCTTACCAACTGCAACACGATCTTTGCCCCACCTTTCGTAAGCGGCCTCCAGACTGTCCATTTCTTCGATGTAGCCGGAGGACACCTCTTCTTCAATAAGCTCCTGAAGCAGGGCAGGATCCGCCTCGGCTCCTTGCCAGTTGCCTTCGCAGATAAGTAGATCTGCGGAGCTTTCCGTTTCCTCTGCACTGCGGGGACGTAGGGTGTGGCTGCGAGGGATATCCCCATCAAAGCCCGTGGGGACCCCCTTCTGCAAAGCGGGAAATAAAGTTGTGTCTTTGTCCCCCAAGAGGGTGCTCAAGCGCTCAAGTGCCGATAGGCAGTATGGTTGACCCTCCTTGACAGAAAAATCCCAATCCTGAGCTGGGGAGTGAGCGTCCGAAAAGCGTTTAAAGGATCCATGCAGCCACGATGTTTCCTCTTCCGAGAAAAGTGGGCTGTTACTGCCTGCTGCGACATGTTGCTGAAGGCGAAGTGGTATCCTGTGCGAGAGGAGCCAGGACTGCCATTCTTTGCGCAAATCGTGCAAGCTGTCAGACTGGTATCTGGGGCCCATTGACCAGTCCGGCAAGGAGTAGATGCCACCTCCATCCTGTGATGCTGTAGTTGTCGCTGCCCGGGGCTTCTTGGGGATCGAAGAGAGTGCGAAAGCCAAAGAACAAGTTGGAACACTGTGGGAGGGCCGGCGTGACGAGAAAAGTTTAGCCGCCTGCTGAGCAAAGCGGTTTGCTAACTGGGCTGGGTACTCTGCGGTGCGCTGTGACAAAAAGTTGCCAAGCTCGTCCCTGACACCGGCCACAGAAGGATGACCCTCCGAATGAGAGCATGTACCTGCCAGGGCTCGCATATCAGCGAAGCTGCATGCTAAAAGCCAAGATTTGGCTATGTTCTGGCCAACTGAGCACGCCGGGATGTTGACCAGTGAAGCCTGTATCTCAGCAAGCATGTCCTGTACGAATGGTTCAAGCCAAGACATCGCGTTCGTGGGCTGTTCCAGAGATACATGTGCACCTGAGTTGAAAGCGGCCCGAAGCAGGCATACACAGCGATACAGAAGCTTCTGGCTGCTTACCACGCGTTCCTGCTGTGAAGCTGTATTGCCCGGCAACCCGTTGAGATGTTCCGGGGATCGGATAGCAGCAGGTCCCCCGGGGCGTAGCTTCAAGCGGGAGTACTCTTTGCATGGCGGAGATCCATGAGCAAAACGTACAATGCCTGAGAAGCATAACCGAAGGAGGTGATCGTACGTGTCGTCGTGCAAGAGGTCCAGCTGCTCCTCACCAAGCAGATCAATGGGCAAACATATGATGCCACATGATGAGATCGCCGTGGTAAGTGGGTGAGAGGCACCACAGCAGATATCTAAGAAGAGCTCGACGTGCGTGTTGTCCTTCGGTGCAGAGGGTACAGCCTGAGGAAGTGTTGTAGGTACTGGAGGCAATGGGAACCCCAGTGACCTTAAATGTGCCAGCGACTTCGTGTCGAAGCTGTGCAGGTTCCTGCAAGTGTAGGCAGTCAATACCCACCTGTCTCCTTGGATTGGCATCGTACAATGGAGGGATTCACAGCTAAAGGAAAGCGGTGAATGCCAGGTGTCGCGCAATTCACCTTTGCTTGCATCTTCCGCTCTGTGGGCCTCGGATGAGGCCTCCAATGGGGCCGGGATGTTGGCAGCAGAAGGGTCCAAAGCTGGGCTAATCCAGATCTCACCTCCGCTGAAATTGCCGAGTGAAACTGTGTGATTGAGTGTTCCTGAAGCGTTGCCAGCATCCGTGTGTAAGCGAGTACGAACGTTGTGACTCACGCACAAGGAGCTCCAAGAGGCACCCGGGAACTGAAGCTGCATGAAAGCGTTCAAGAAACGAAGTACATCGGAAAATTGTTCAGTGCGCTGAAATATCCCCGACCTGGTGCCGTTATCAAAGGAGAAAGCTCCCAGGTTGAAATATGCTCCGGAAGCGTCAATGGCATTGTCGGTGGGGCCTGCGGCATCAAGGAAGGGAATGGAAAAGTACTGCGCTAAAAGCTCCAAGCAGGTAGCGAAGTCGAGGGAGCCTTCACTGATTGCCAAAGATGCACTGGATACTGGGGCACCAGCCTTGGGCAGTGCCGAGGTTGCCCCTGCTGAACCTGAAGGTTGAGCAGGCACTGAAAGCGGGACAACTGTGACCTCCTCAGCGATGTCCCGCTGGTCGCTGAAGTGGGTTTCCTGGTGCGGGGCAGCCACATGCTGAGAAGCTGGGTGATTACCCCCGCAAGCGGTGCCGTCATTCTTGGGCACTGCGCATCTGTGCACATAGCGGCACGTGGCTGGGTCCTTGCACTGACCGCTCTGGTAGCGCATGCAAAGAGTCTGGCGCTTGCCCTCCATGAAGATGGTTGAAAGCCATTTGCCGGGAGGCGTCGCCTGCTTGTTGTCCTTGCCTTTGCCACCTTTGCCGCCTCGCTCGAAGCGCTCTCCCTTCTCGCCTTTGCCATCGCGGCCTTTGCCGCCACGGCCCCCGCCTTTGCCTCCGCGACCGTTGCCTTTGGAGCCGGCCTTCCAGCTGTTGTCCGGGTCGTGCTTGGGTTTGGGTACGAATGGCCTGGGCGCAAGTAAGCTGTGCAAATCAGAGCGCACCTCCGCAACTTCGTGAAGCGCATCATCTAGCTTCCAATGATGCACATTGACTAAGTCGGCGATGATTTCCCAACATCGGCGATCAGCTGCCTGGGCTTCCATCGTAGTGGGGCCCCGTAGGTTGGCGGAGGCCTCGTATTTGGTGAAGCAAATGCGGGTGAACTTTTTGTTGTAGAGTTTCAGGGAGCCTAGGTGTGCCCCCTGGCATAAAGCGATCGCATTCGCAGCAAGTGAGAGAAGCTGTGTCACGAAGCTGAAGGAGGCGGGGCCTTCATGTATATCCCGGGTCGGAGCCTCGTCGAAGAAGAACTCCGCGATGTCAAAGCGGGCCTGTTTCTTGGGCCTGATAAGCAGGCTGTCTTCTTGCGCCCTTGCACTTAAGCGGTACTTCCAGGGAATCCATCGCACTTCCTTTTCTGAAAGCATCTTATTGGTAAGGGCCAACAAGCGGGCGCTCGGAAAGCTCTCGGCATCGAGGAGTTCAGTGGGGTAATCCTCCTCGAACCTTTTCCTAAGCGCTGCGGTGCGTTCGCCGCTGAGTTTTGCAGGCCAAGCCTCCTGCCATGAGCTAGAAAGCGGGACTGCGGCCGGAGCGGTTGGCACAGCTGTTGAAGGCGCTTCTCCAAGCGGGAGAGCAGAACTGGGCGTGGCTTCTAAGGATGCCATGCCCTCCGACTGCCGGCATTTGGAGAAAAGCAGGCGCAACGACGCTTTAGTGATAAAGCGTTCTGCTGCTTCTGTCACCGCAGCTTCGGTCATAAAGTGGGTGATCAATTCCTCTAGCTCGGAAGAAGTTGTGCAAGCACGTGCGTACAAAGCAGTGTCAAACTCCGAAAGCAGAGAGGCCACCGCAGGAGGTACGTTGCAGTCCGACACGAGCTGCGAGAAGTCGGACATGTCGAAGAGACCTGAGCGGGATGAATGGCTGATGTAAAGCGGGATGTGAAGAAATCTCAGGCGTGGGCCTCGGAGATGATCGTCCTGCGAGGCACACAACAAAAGTTAGAGGCTTCGAATGTGTACCTGTGGCCTGTCGCGAGGCAGCGAGAGAGGCCCCCCGAGCGGGAGAGAGCTGTGCTTGACCCAAGCGGGGGAGACAAGTGATGTCATGTTTCTGAGCGGATCAAAAGCGGAGGCACACTTCGATGCAATTGTCAGAGCTTGCCGCCTATTTTCCAAGCGGGAAACGGTGCTCGAGATAACTGGCTTACGAAAGCCGAGCTCCAGCGGGCTCACAAGCCCAGCGGGGTCGCCCGTGTGCAAATTGGGTCGACCCAAAAGTGGGCGATTCAGTGCCGAAGCTTGAAAAGTGGGGGGCAGCGTGGATTTCACTGATGCTGCCATGCCCGTCCAGACCAGTTCCAGGAACTCCAAGCGGGCGAGTCCTCCCAAGCGGTCTGGCTCTGGCCCCACTCATCTTGGCCGTGGTTCCACTGCGAAGTGGCCTCCTGGCGCTCACGCCCACGAGCGCGTTTGCAGTCTCTGCATAAGTGGTTCACGTGGAAGCTGTTGGATCTGTCGCTGAATGTCGCCTGACAGTGTCCCTGAGCGCATTGGGAACACTGGCGGCGGCATGCCCACAATTGAACCAGCTGCAAAGTGGCCCGGCCTTCGCTATCATAGATAGTGTGTCCCAAGAGGGAGGCTGGGGCGTCACTAGCGAGAAGCGGGGCTATCTCGCGCTGTGGTGTTGAAGCGGGCGGCTGTTGCCCTGTGTTTCCCGAGCTTCCGCCCGTGGTGCCCTCCTCCACAAGCGGCGGTGGCGGGGCCTTGGAAGCGGGAGGGGCGCTGGGCGTAGCCGCCGGGGGTGTAGTGGCCACCGAAGCGGGTGGAGCGGGCGTAGCCATGCTCTTCGACTTCAGCAGCGGTACCCCGGCCTTTGGGGTGGTCGACGCCAAAGCGGGCGACGAAGGAGGTCGCGGCGGCGGTTCCTTGACCTCGGGTTCACGTTGCCAGCGTTTGGCGTTCGTGACCCCGTCACCCGTGGCCTCGGCGTTGGCCTCGTCTCCCTGAGCAGCTGAAGTGGCTCCCGTGGGGGCGCTCTCGCCACCGGTAGCTGCTTTAGGCTCCGCTGGTGCCTCCAAAGTGGGTGCAGCAGGCGAGGGAGAAGACGTAAAAGCGGCCGGTGTCCCGTAATCTTCGGCAGCGATAGAGTCCCCGATGGGGTCGATCACGGTGCTCGAAGCAGGCTGCTCCGAAGGTGCTGCTGCCAAAGCGGGTGCCGGCGTTGTGGAAGGAAGAAGCGGGTCTCCTTCCATTCGCTTCAAAAAGTGGGCCCTCTCAGCCTCGTTCATGCTTTTGAGGAGGCTGAACACGTAGTCGGGGGACAACTTGGCCATGACCCACGCTGGGAGTAAAGCGGGATTATGTTTCATAAGCTGATCTCGAGCAAGAGCTTATGGAATAACATGTCACAAGCGCGAAAAAGCAGGCTGTAGCACAAAGTCATGACCCAGAGGTGCAAGAGGTATCGCTGTATTTCTCGGGAGACGCTCAAGCTACCTCCAAAGATGCTATGATGCATGCCCGCCGCTTACATAAGCGAGATTCAGGCGGAAAATGCGCAAAAGCGGAAAATTCTGAGATGCATCCACAAGCGGGGTGACATCGAACCTGGCATTGGGCATCCTTGCATGCCAAGCAGGTCATGCGGGAGCCGGGGTGGGAAATGCTGAAGTGTGCCACTCCGGATGCTCCTAGCAGATACCGCACCTCCCTGCAGTTTGTGCGGGAAGTTTGAAAAGATGGAGCTTCAAGCGGCTGCTCCTCATGTGACACACTAAGCCTCTCGCTCGTTGCATCTTGCCATGTGGGGTCGACCTCCAAAGTGGATGCGACCATCGCTGAAGGGCGAGCCGGGCCTGCATCATCGGCATCTGAGTCCTCGAAGTGGTCGACCTGCGCCCGGGCGCGAACACAAGAGGGAAGTTTGGGGCCTGACCGTGTAATCGTTGAGCATGACTCTCGGGCTTCGCGAAGTTCGCCGTCCTGTTGTTCCAGGGCAAGGAATGATTGGAAATCACTGCCAAGCGAGAAACATGTAAGTTCCGGGATGAAGGCGTCCCATTGGAACCCCGCCGTCTCGAAGGGGGGCTCGGCAAGCGGTGATTGTCCACCTCGGTGTTGCGGCCTGGCAGGACGGAAGCCGGAGTGGATCGACCGCCACAAAAGAAGCTGCGCTCTCAGGGCTGGCCATACGTCGTCCCGTGAATAAAGCTGGGCAGAGCCAGGGGTTTTATGATGTCCCTGGAGAAAGCGGGACGCCAGTGGGATAGAAAGCTGAGACATCCACGAAAGGAAGGTCGTCTTCAAACTGTGAAGCGTATATTGAGAAGCTTGGTGCTGCTCTACCCCTGAAAGCGTCAGCCAGTGGCGCAACTTCTGAAGGGCCTGTGAATGAGTGGCCGGAGCAAAGCCTGCATCACTTAACAGGAAAAACATGCAATCTGGTTCCGGCTGGGCCCCAAAGCGGGAGCGGAGGTCGGACCAAACCTTGTCCAATGCTCCCAACCAGCGGGGGAGCCAAGTCAGCCCCCATTCCTCAGAGGACGAAAAGGGGCCGAAGCTGAGAAGACCAAAGGGGCATCCGCCTTTGGTGGTCTTGGTTCTGTAGCATATTCCCCGTAAAGTGAAATGGCTCACACAAAGTGAGCTCCAGCGGACGTGCTGGGCGTCCGCGAAGCGGAGGCTCGCACCGATTGCCACCAAGAACGACCCCGCCCAGATGGTGTCCATCAAGCTGGCTGTGCCTGAAAGCAGGGTGCGCTCAAGGAAGGCCACAAAAGAGAGCGGCAGTGGTATGCTCTCTCGTTTCTCCTGGCCAGACGGATTGGAGAGGAGACTGAAAGCTGTGCCGTACAGGTCTGGGAGGCATGCAAGTGAAAGAAGCTTCTTGTACCAACGCAGCGCCTTGAGCACATTGATGCTGTTGGAAAGGGGGCCTGTTTCGGAGCCTCGAGATAAAGCGAAGAAAGCATCAAGGAAGAGACCTTGGTCGATGGACTCCATGTTGCCACCCAGCTCCTCAAAGGCACAAAAGAAAAGCTGGACTGAGCGAAGGTAGCGGGCCGCCGTGGTGTCACTCACCTTGCTGAGAAGCCGAGACTTGATCACTGCGCCCTCGCGACTCCCTGAAAGCTGTTGCAGCACCTCGCTGTAGGCACCATGCGATGCACAAAGCTGGTCGAAAAGTACCTTGTTGCGTTCATCGCACGCCTGATGATTATCCTTGCTGGTGACCAAGCCGGCGATCGGCTCACGAAAGGCAGGCGGGTGTAACTCTGAAGGTGCTCGCAAAGCTGTTGTTGAGGGCTGAACTGGTCTCGGCGTTGCCAGGGAAAGCGATACCTGAACAGGAGAAGGCTGCTGCATGGGGTAGACCGCGTAAGCCGAAGCGTCCTGAAAGTGCGGCAGTGCCTTCGCCGTCGGGAAGATCTGGGATGTAGACTGCTGCACAGGCACGGCTTTAGGGGCTTGCCGCGGAGTGGGGAAGGGAGCGCAGGGGCGGAGCCGAGCAACTGTAGGCTGGCGCCCGTTGTGCCCCACCTGAAAAGGGGAATTGTATCGCAAGCACACCCTGGGAGCCCGCCAAGTGGGTGCCTTCGGAGTAGCAGGCAAGCTGGGTCTAGGAGGGGTGGATTGCAATGGCAAAAGCAGAAATGTCGAAGTTTCTGAAGGCCACCCATGAAAGGATGCATTCTCGGGCACCGGCTGGTTCTGCTCTATAAGCTGCCAAGATTGATCTCCGCTGGAGGCACCTGGGGAGTTTTCCATGGGTAGGGGAGGAGTCACCGGGGCACAGTGTGCTTGGTGAAGCCAGCGGCGTCGAAGCTTACTCCTGGGTTCAAAAGCTTCCTCTGCATCTGAATCAGCAACTTCGAAAGTGGGTGCTGGAGCAGGAGGCGGTTGATTAGGGTCTGTTGGATCCGCAAAATCAGCAAAGTGGTTGCGAAAAGAATCCCTAAGCTCCAAAGCTTCTTCAGCAGAGCAGAAAGGTGAAGAATCAGCCAGGAGAATATCCGCAGCCACCCTGCTAGAAGGCAAAGCTGGCGCATCACCACCAGACTGTGCAGAAGAGGCCATGGCTAAAACCAGATCCTGAGGCGCGCCACCGTCTCTGACAGCGTTTCGCGAAGCAGGGTCACGAGTGACCTGACCTTAATAGCCAGTTTCTGAGTGGCCTCCTCCAAAGCTGTAGTCCTGTCAGACAAGTGGAGAAGCCAGCCGCGACCTTGGTGAAGCTGGTCCTCCAAGCGTTGGACCCTGCCGTGTAAGCGGGAAATTTCCGCTCGTTGAGCCGCACTTTCAGCTTCCAAGTCGTAAACCCTATCACAGAGACTCCTGACGTCGTCGGTAAGGCAGGCTTCAAGCAAGCGAAGATCAAACTGCCGGACGTCCCTGTCGAGTTCACGCAAAACAGCTTGTAGCTGGGAGCTATGCGGCGCAGGCTCAAGGTCCATGCAAAGCTGGAGGCTACAGCGTGTTGTCTTAAAGCTGCTGAGAAGTAGTCCTGAAAGCTCAAGACCTAAGCAAAAAGCACATGCAAAGCTGAAAGCTGAGCTAAAGTTTTAGAAAGCAAGCTGCTGTTGCGTGGTGTATGCTTGAACCCAAGGGGGGCAGCGGGGTAAGAACTGCCGAAACAACCCTGAGTAAACACAGGAACCGTCAATGTTAAAGACCCGCTTGGCCATAAGACAATAGCTGCAAGCATGCACTAAATCATCGACTTCGAAGCTTCCCACACCATTCTCCTTACCCAGTAGGACTGCATGGAGTTTCCCCTGAAAAGGCACAAGAAAGACCGGCAGATACCACCCTGTCAGTTCAGCAACCTGTAGAGGATGCCGCCAGCTTTCCCAGATATGTGGCAGGAAGTAGCCAAGGGCAGCAGTGTGCTGCAGCGCCAGACCGTCAGCTCTAGCATTCCACTCCGGCTTATTCTGTGCCAATGCAGCTACGTCTCTCGAATCACTTGGTCCCTCCGGAAGCAAACCTAAGAGCTGACAGGCCTGCGACGTCCAGCTGAGCATGTGATTCCAGGGCCCGCCTACTGCCAGGGCTTGTTCGCCTTTCGAAGGCGCATGGAGCGCAGCCAGCTCCAGAGAACCGGTGGGTCTACGCAGACAGTGGCCAGCGTACGTCCATTTTCTTTTCACAACTGAATAGACCCACTGTTTACGAGGACTCAGCCTCAGTAACTGCTGCGCCACACGTCTCCGCTGCCGATTCAGCGTAACTGCCCGCGTATATGTCAGGGTTTGGCTAATATGGAGTTTTAGCATGAGGACAACCATGGCGGTTTGGAGCTTCTGAACAGGTTGCAGAACTGACTGCAGTGGCTCAAGCATGGGTGCCATGAAACTCCACTTGCTGAAGACGTAACGATTGAGGAGCACCAAGGCTTCAGCAGGACTGTGCCAATCGCAGGCCCTTACAGGCCTTGCAATCGATTCCCAACCCGCATGCGTGGCCTTCAAAGCCGACTCCACGACCCACGAGCTGACGGAAGTCTCAGCTTGATAATGTGTAAAAGGTCGTCTGAGATACTCTCCAACAATTACCCGTTACCCACTTGCACTGCATGGCTGGGTGGTTGGGATCAGAGTCAAAGAAGTCCAATCCCTCTTGATACCAGTCTGGGTGCACTACGGGCTGGGTCTTATCAAGGTTGAGTTGCAGCCCTAGCTCGGCAAAGGCAGCTATAAGATCTGAGAGACCCTGTTTGAACGATCCCCAGGAGTCGAAATTGAAGATGCAGTCATCCGCGTAACACCATCCAAACAGCAGACGACCAGCATGATCCCTGTGTCGAGGACGAACGCTGCGACGGCTCTGCCACACATTAAACAGCTGATCAACGGCTTCCCCTAATCCCACTGCTTCCCCATATCCTGCTGAAGGGTAGGGGTGAGCATCAATGCGACAGCCTCTTCGAACCCCTTTGTCTTGACAGACGCTTTGCGGCATCCTGTGGGTCTCCTGTCCCTCGGCTTCTTGAGTCGAGGCCCCTTCGGGGCTAGCAGCAGATCCAGGCTGACAAGTGCATGGTCGCTGCCAATCTCCTGTCTGGCCGCGTCATTGACGGCAACAGTGAGCACGTCCCCTGTATCCAAATACTGAAGACGACCCCTGTCCTTGACATTAACGAAGAAGTAATCATACCTCCTGGTACTGAGCGCTCCAACCCAAGTATCCGACTCCGGATAAGCTAAAGAAAAGCCTTTGGAGTGAAGAAGCGAGCTGAGCTCCAGGAATCTCTGATCCCCCTGTTGGCAGTTCCAGTCACCAGCAAAAAGAATGACATCTGCTGAAGAGGCCCTGTCTGTGGCCCCCTCCACTTCCAGAAGAGCATCTTGAAAGACTTGCTCCCCCGAGGACTTGTGCGGAAAGTGTGCTCCTAAAATATAGAAGACTCCAGGCAACACTTGATGAGAGAAAGCAACCTCAACACATCTTCTCCCAGCGCGAGTAGCAATGATAGAATCCACCACTGACTCATCGAGTAGGATCATCTGGCTAAGGTGGGAGTCTCCCTCCCATGTCCCAAAAACCCTGTAATCAAACAGCTCGCATTCCTCGGGAAACGAAAGCTCCCTCAGGGAGCCAGGTCCTGAGGACTCCTTGCACTTAATTTCTTTGAGACCTCCAACCTCCTGAAAAACCACTATATCAAGTGCTTCTGCCACTGGCCCTTCCATCCAATGCGAGAGTGTATTCAAGGCACGTCCTCGGAGATTCCAAGACTGTGTGTGAACGACGAAAGGGCCCTGAACCGAAGCACCTTCACTAGTGGCTCCCAGTCAGTTTGATCTCAGCTTTGCTTCAAGCTCACCCACATCCACGCCAGCTTGCCAGCAAGAACGCTCAGGTTGAAATGACAATCACCATGCAACCGCAAGCCCTGCCCCGAGAATCTAACTGCAATGACCTTGTGTTCAGTCGCAGCGAAGAGACTGCTGGCATCCAAGGCCATGACCCTCCCTGCCTGAACCCAAACAACAGCCATGTTCCAGTCGATCTCTACCGTGTCGTCATCATGACTGAGGCCTGCTGCACGAAGAAGTCTATCGAAACCTGCCCTTAGCAGCTTCCCTTTCTCACGCACAGCAAAAGGCTTCGAGGGGCTAACCCACAAAGCTTTGCCATTCCTCAGTTGCATCTTTTTTGTTTATGACGGGAAGTATGTCAAAGAACCTTGAGCGCGCATCTCGGTCGGGAAGTGGTTTCAGGAGTAGATGTGCTGTCCATGCTCTTTTCCCCACGACATAACTTCGAGCAGTGATATCTTCCAGCTTGAAGTTCTGGATAAAGAGCTGAACCTCCTCCTCAATCAGGGCTCTACGAGTGTCCTGGCCCCAGCCTCCGAGAATCATGTGATTGAAGTCGGATTCGTCTCGGAGATGACTAGGCGGGGGGATGCAAACACCTGGCCCAGTAGAGGCGAACGCCGTCGAGGGATCACTACGAGGTGACGAGCCACAGGCACCATTGCCTTCCTTGCTGGCGATGGCTTTCTGCAGCAGACCCACTTGCTCTTCAATCTTCTGAATTCTAGCCGTGTCATCCAAAACCTGATGTTCTAGGTGCCCAAGTCGTGAAGTGAGCTCCTCATTCTGATGCAGAACCCTATCCAGCTGAGAGCCAAGGTTACGTTGCAAGGCCATCGCCCAGGGCGGAGCACCGTCCAGTGGTTCAAGAGCCTCCTCAGACAGGACCATCTGCTCCCCTTCCTGTGCCGGCCTCTTACGGGGACTTCCCGCGCGCAGGGCCAGTTGGGAGTTCATGGGGATCGGGACGGAGCAACCTATCCAATCCTGAAGTCCAGAGCCGAAACCTTGAGCCAAAAAACCTTGAGCCAAACATGAAGGGGAGACTGTTTAACAACACAATCAACTGCCACGAGTCATGAAGCTGTCGGTGTGCGGACTTGATCTACGGAGTGCAACGAATGAAACAGCCGAAGACAAGAATTGCAGGCGGATTTCTTTGCTGTCCAAGTATGCCACCTCCACATTCCACACCATGCAGGCCTTCTCCTTTCAAAGCGTCTTGCTTTGGAGCAAAACTGTACAGATCTTGGAACCATTCTTAAAGCATGGTCCAAGGAGACTACAAGAGAAGGTAGACTCACGCCGTTCTACGTGGCCTGCATCAGTAACTGCCGGCGCTTGGCATTGCCATATCGAGAAAGCCGCCAGAGACTACAGGGCTTACTCCGCTCCGCCCTCTCACTTCCCCTTGCCCAGATTGAACTTGAAGAAAATGACGTCTCCGTCTTGAACCTGTGCAGCTGCCCAGCTAGATGATGACAGCCTCAGGCGTCGCCTGCCTCGTAGAGCTTGCCCTCCTGCCGGTACTTGCCGCCTGCCTGTCAAACGCCCCGCGTTGCACCCAGCAGAAGTGATGCTGCGCCCTTCAGCTTTGCCTTGACAGCTGCTTCACTGCCGAGCTCCTTGAGGTCAGTGTAGGCCATGACCTCTGCCATAATGAAGCCTGAACACGAACGCTGCAGAGAACGGAGCCACACACCCTTCACCTATACTAGCGCGCCTTTCTCAAAATCGGTGTGAATAACTCCGGCTGCTTGGGGAGCCTTTGAGTACTTCTGGCGACCGCAACGAGTGCTTGGTGTGGTTTCTGGCATCGGGGCACCTTGTATCCTTTCCGGACGGTCCAAGCCTTCACTTCATCAGGCCCTGCTGTGAAGAAGTTGATCAGATGCACCTCTCGCGGCAAGCGGCACTCACAGCACTCAAGATAAGCTTGAATTGTTGCTCACACTTTCGGCATCAGAGGTGCCATATGGAAGGCGGTCGTGATCATCTTTGGCATAGCACTAGTGACGCCTCAGCTTGCCAGGCCGGCTGTCGTGAAGCTTTGCCTCGGTGCTCAGGCGAGCAGCCATCCTCCGTAAGCTGCTTCTGCCGTTCTTCTTCCGTCTCCATGTCCTGGAGCTCCTCCTCATAAGCTCCGCCTTAGAGATGCAAATGCTTCGCTCGGCTCTCTTGATACCTGGCTGCCCTGCGCATTGGGGCTGCCATCGAGATTCAATAGGGAATCATGGCACTGCCGGGAGAGTTGGCTTGCACCCAATCATAGATGGGCTTCAAGAACTTGTTCCTCAACTCGCAGTGGCAAGCACCATGTCCCAAAAGCCCATCTCGATGCACACAATTAGCAGTGTCCAAGCCGCTTTTTTCGGCAGAAGTCTTTCCTCCGTGCAGACATGACATGATCGGAGGGTAACGCTCACATGGATCCAGCAGTCGCATTTTAGGATGAGTGTCTTGTTCATGTTGATTGCGTACATGCAAGGCTTTGCGGTGAGCAGGCCGTAGTCGTTGATGTACTCAATGTCCTCGGAACCAGCTTCTTGGAGAAAGAGGTGGAATTTCAAGAGAGTATTCAAGCTCGAAGTGATGGGCAAGCAGCTTTAGTCGACCACTTGTCCAGCCCGTTCCTCAAGCTTTTCAGTCAAGCCGGAAAAGCTAGGCTACTTTCTCTTTCACGACTGTTACCGTGGGCATGCCCGGCACTTTGCAGGAACGCCAAAAAATCATCGCCAAGCGTCTTGACATCCTGGGGCAAACAAATTATCCACAAACGCTCACACGAACGTGTCCTGCTGTAGGCCGAATCAGAGGCCCGCCTTCCCATCCTCAAGCCAAGAAATCACTTTCTCCATGGTTTCCAACTCTTCTTCCCACTTCCTTAGAGGTGCACGAGAACAGCAGTCGGGAGAAGTCAGTGTCTGGTGCATGAGAGGTGTGTTAGCCATGACTCTTCAGGTGCGCAGGTGACTTGGTTCTAGCTGCTGCGTGGCCTTTCTTGTGGAACTCGACCTGCACAAGATTTGGCGGGTGAGTGCTTGCCCACTGCCTCAACTCCAGGATCAAAACCTCGTGAGGTCCAGACAAACACATCCACAGCCGTGGAGAACATCAGGCAGGTGTCTAGATTACGATCTGTATGTCGCGCATCTTAACCACATTGGCATAGAAGGAATCAGGGCCTTGCCCTTCATGTAGCTGATGTCTTTCAATCGCAGCTCACTGCAGATGGTGTTGATGTCGCGCACCTCATTGCCAAAGTGTGTGATGGTTTTTGATGACTGATTGCAGACTCCGGGTTTCTGGCAGGATCTACTGTATCCTCGGCATGGATGACATCGTCATCTTCGAACGCACGCATGACGTGCACAATACCATCCTGAGCCAGCTTTGTGTTGCCAGGAGGATCGGGGGTTCCAACCCTGCAGCGGCCGTCCCCTTAGCTGTTCAAACGTGGGGTGCCTGCAACCTGCCGCCAAGATTCCACAGATTGAATGTGTGAAAGGAAGGCGTTGCCCAAACCTTCACCTGAGAGATGTTGCAGGCACTTCGCAATGTGTCGTACAGGCAGAACGAAGGTGTGCAAGACCACGGGTGGATCTGCCGAGTGGCCTTTGTGGGCTCCGGAAATCAGGCCGGCAATGTCCACCACTGTGACATACGCCTTTGCCAGAAAAGGCATTCACGACTGCACATAAAACACAGTTTGCACTGGCTTCAGCGGAACCACCGTGTGCATGAATCGACGTGCTCGCAGGCTATTCGCAAAGTGGCGAACTATGGGCACAGTGGAACACGACGGTTGCCTCGTAGATCGTTGACAGGGGGCGTAAACGAACTTGGGCGCGGGGGCGTGGACTAGACCAAACGTTGCCTCGTTGTGTGTACAGATGTTTTTCCTTGAACCACAACGAGAACATCTGAGACCTGCTGCATCGGAACAGACATCGCATGAAAGCCTACAAGACCGCGAACAATAGCCGATATGAGTTTGCATATTTCGCCATGGGCTTTGCATTGCGAGTTCCCCAGCCCCAGCCCCCAGCCTTCACTTCGTTTTTGGGCTTGTGCTGCGCGACGAGCCAATCAAATCGGTCATCCTCCAAGAAGGCCCGGGTCTCTGTTGGGTCAATCGTGCAGAACGGCACCTTCGACCCGGGCTCGCACAAGGCACACAGTACTGCAGGCAACCGGGAAGATCTTCGCGCTTACTTTGAGGGTGTTTGTAATTGCAATGGAGCTTGTCTGCCGGAATAGACCCCGCCAAGATCCCTGCGTTGGCTGTCTTCGAGTGATGAGACTTGCCTCAGCATCATGTGCACAGGCGGTGTTGAGGCCAAGGAAGTATGCTTCACGACACGAGGTTACACCAAACGGTTGGCGAGACGACCATGCCATCAAGGAGTTACGATCTCACGGGCGAATCGAGTCCGATCTGGGCATGCTGAAACCTTGCCAGCATCAGTTCGGCCAGGTCTCTCAAGGTATTGTAGAGTGTACTCTTACCGACGTTCCTCAGCTGTTCCAGCCCAAAACGCTACAAGCATCCGAGTCCGTTGCCATGGTTAACAACAAGCTTCGGCATTCCCACCAGACCAACTTTCAGCGCCCGGGACCATCGACCCAGCATCCATGGGCCGACAGCCTCCTGCACCGGGAAACAGATATGGGCAAGCTTGAGACGGTTTCCACACTCTGACCGCTGCCTCCTCCACCTTCTTCTTGGGGGGCATCTTGGGCAAGAGGACGGGGTGGAGGCAACGACGGTCTTGATGGCGATGTGGCGAGGTGCATTTGAGGAGCTTTTATTCAGGACACCCGCACAGAGAGAGAGAGAGAGACACACACACACGCGCGCGCACTCAATCACAGTCTCAACAATCCGCGCAGTACTGCAGCTCTTCTCTTGGATCTGGCTTTGCTGCACCGCCGCATGAAGTGTTACCTTCCTGTGGCAAGAACTTGGCAATCGCCCCAGGGTGTAAAACTTCGGGACAAGAACACTGCCTCCACATTGAAGGGCAAAGGGAATGCACGGTCTAGAATTGAATAAAATGCATGCCCACTTTCGTGGCGAAGAAGGTGTGCTTCTTTTGTCAAGAGCATGGTGCAAAGGGCATGCAACTCAAGGTTTAAAGTTAAGGGTTCTCTAGTTTAATATACTATTGCGCCGGTGTTGCAATGGCTGCTGGCCTTCTCGAGCTATGAAGGCTTCACTTATGCACTTTGCACACAGAGCCAGCTATTCTTGTGATTGCTGGTAGCTGCCAGAACATGTTGCAGCTGGCTTACGAGGCGGCAGGAGTGACGCAGCTAGTTTGCGCACGCTCTTGCTGCAAGCAGCGGCAGGACAGCCTCTACATGTTTCGCTAGTGGAAGCTCCAGCGGAGGTCGATTCTGCAGCTACCAACATGCTTCCCCTGTTCTGTTCAGCTCGATGTGCCGCAATACACCGTTGCAGTTGCAGAAGCGACTGAGTAGATAAGACGCATGTTATGCACCAGGAGATGCGGTGCAGCGCTTCACAAGGGATTAAGCGAAATCATGTATAGAAACCACTACTGCTGTCGCCTAGAGCCATCTTGGGAAGCTCAGCAGGAAACAAAGCATCGACCGACATCAGATGGTTAAATTAAATCTTGGCTTCGGCCAGTAAGCCGACAAAGTCGCGAAGTGTGGAAAATGCAGGATGGAGGCAGGTGCTTGTGCATCGATGCAAGTTTAGGACAAATTCAGTCAGTTTGCACACGTGCCCATCCTTTCTCCCATCCTCACAAAGGTCCTCGGCCAGAGGTGCAGCATTTGGCTCGAAACCCAACTGCATTTGCGAGTGGCTCCACAACAGAGCTCGTGCTTCAACACGCTGCTCAGCCCAGGGTCTCGAGTCCCCGCGCGGAGGCATCCAGAAGGTCCTGGAACTGAGTCGAAAATAATGCACGAGAACATGATCGGCAATGATGTGTGCAGGTGCAAGGCTTGTCTAAGAGTCTATGCTCTGCTTTGCACCGTGTGTGGAGACATCCACATGCACTACTGCCTAAGCTTTCCTGGCATCACTATCACTAGCTATGCTGTTCATGGGATGTCTTGGCACTACGTATCAGCACAACCTCGTGAATTCTTCCTGGTCTTGGCACAGCAGAGGCAGAAAATGTGCTATGAGGATCGTCCGTCTGGCCAGTACCAATGCTTCTTGCAGAGAGGGTGAGCTTGACATGGGTTCAATGTGAATGTCGGAGCCCTGGGGTCCTGGACCTTCTTCCGTCATGCAATACATGTAGAACTGAGTTTCAAGATTTTCTGGCATGCAGGAATTCAATCTGAACTCCATACCATCTGTTTGTGGTTGCGCCTTGCGCACCTATGTGCGGCGTTTGCAGTTACAGCCAGCATGAGCCAGCGTGGTCCTTGTCCCACTGGACAGCTCCCGGCTCCGTCAACAGGACACCTTGTTCAAGCAGCGTTCGCACATTCTCGAAGTCGTGTCGTCTTCATGAGAGAAGGCGTGGGACAGTGCAGGAAAGGGGGATAAGCAGGGGCAAGCGGTTGCATGTGTTGCTCGAAGTGGAGCCGAGCTTCATGTGGACCCTCCATACCTCAGGAGCAGATTCTTGTCTGTACAGGCATAGTTGCAACGTTCCAGGATTCCGTTGCAACCAGCTACTAGTAGGTTCTAGGATAGCCTGCGATCGAGTCACTGGAAATATCCATAGCAATCTCCTTTTCGGAAATCTGAGCCTTCCTGTCACTGGCATTTTACAAGGCTCCCCAAACCAGATGCTTTAGACTGCTTTGCGCGGGTCCTTCTGCAGAAGTTCGACAGAGCCCACCAGAGTGGCACCCACGGCTACGAAGGCAACCAGGCCAAACCCAGCATGCTGCAAAATGCTCACCTCAAGCAGTGGAAATGGGGATCCAGCGCCTGACATCTACTGCTTCATTCACCCCAGCTCTCTAGTTTCGCAAGCTTGCGACTGGAATCTCATCTGTGCTTGTGCTGTACTAGGCGACGTGGTGGCTGCTCTCAGTGTCGGAGAAACGGTCAGCTGATTGAAATGGATACAGTTGTCGGCAGCCGGGCTCGAGTGCAAAGTAGGTAGGGTGTTCATGCTACTCTTGTCAACTTGACCGAAACCCCACTATGAATCGCCACGACACGGATCGACAGTTCTCAGTGAGCACGTCCACACTGGAGTTGTTGATGGCCACAGGGTTCACTGAGTAATATTCCCCGGACAAACATTTCTGGCTCAACACCTCGCAGCATCGCAGCAGGTGCATGTCTTTGCTTCTCCTAGGCCCTGCAGTTCTCTAGCAGTGCCTGGCCCGGGCCACAGGGAAAGTGGAAGCGGTGATAGTCCTCTTGCAAGGCGATGCGCTTGCCGCACTGCAGGGAGTTATACACATGAAGTAGATAAAGATTTCAGTGTCCTGTGGTGCTAGGCGGAGAACAGCCACAGAACAGCCTGAAATGATGAGCACATAAAACCTGCGAAGCACACGCACTCGCCCCCTGCTCACAAAGATGCTGCATCCGGCCTGACTTCCGCAGGAAAGGCTCCGCCGCAGCAGAGTTTCCAAGGAGTTCTGTCACAAACAGGCTGTTGCTCGCATCTGATGGTTTTGGAGCGGTCACGTATCTTCGATTAATTATTCTGCGGAAAGCAAAGCACATGTTGCTGCATGCTGCTGCGCCGTCGTCACTTCGATGCCGTGTCGGTACATAGCTTGCGGGCTTCATGAGCATTTGTGCCCCTATCGGTTCCAAGCGGCCACATCAATGCAGCCATCGGATGCTAGAATTGATTGCCTATTGCCGATCCTCGTGGCTATAAATGGTGCTGAGAATTTTTCAAGACAAGGCACCTGACCGAAACTTAGGACTACTAGTAGAATTATGGTGTTCAGAGAGAGGGGCAGGCTGGAGGTCCAAGCCCAATCTTCGACATGCCCGGGTCCTGCCACAGAGAACTTGCATCCCTTGGTGGCACGAGGAACATCATATGCTTCGGCAAGCTAATACAATGAAACAGCTGTTGTTGGTACTCAGGAGGTTGCCTTGATCCAAACGCGTGCCGCCTCTTCAAAGTTTGGGAAAACGATAGCTCGGCAGTCTGCGCTGCTGACAAAAACGGTTGCATCCTGGCATGGCATGGGTTGGCAGGTGGCAGAATTTGCAAGCTCCACCGAGCCACCAACATGTACATCTATCACATCTGAACGTGCCCTAACCTTGCAAGGATGTCTGCTGCGAAAGATATTTTAGCACAGCATGGTTCAGTGATCAAGCAGCATATATAGCATGATCTAGCCAACTTCTCATGCTCCCGTCCTCGGGGCTGTCAACGGGTCGTGCTCCTGGCTTGAGCTCGCGCGTAAAGAAGTCCTGAAGTCCCGGACACGCCATCAGAGCCCAAAGCGGGCTGAGTAAGGCACCCAAAGTCTGAGCATCTGACATTCATCGTGCGGAACTCGCTCAGTGGAAGTAACACCTGCAAGCTCGATAGACACGGTCAACGTCTCAGTATAGGTCCCGAGAGCAACCCGATCCGGCTTCAAGTAGCCTGCCTCCGCCTCCCCTTCACCCCGCAAAGCTTTAGTCGAAGATGGGCGAGCGTTAGGACTTCAGGACACTGGGTGGCCCGATCAGATCACTGCCCGTCAGTCCGGAAAGTTTGGACCCTCAGATGCCATGCTACGGCTCGAACGTCTGGAATGCACGGCTCGGCAGAATCCTTTCTCTTGACGGTCTCGGCTCTACATTTTGGAGTCCCAGTCAACGACTCATCCATGTCGTGCTCACCTACTTGGACTCAAAGCTTTCCTTCTCGTTGCTTGGCCAGTTCCCTAACCGGGGAACATGTTGAACCCAGCTCACAGACTTCCAGTACCCAGTGTGAAAAACTACAGCGTGGAGTCGGAGTTGAGTGTCGACTTGCTTACAACGTCGCAACAAGCAAGAACTGCGGTCTCAAATGGTGCTTGACCTTGCCGCACAGGACCCTGCAGCCTGCCTCCTCCATGTCAATGCTGTAAACATCAACAAACTTCCGGACATCCTGAGGCATGAAGCATCCCAAGACCTTCACGAAGCACACCACCATGCTCGAGGTTGCAGTCCTTTTTGCTAGATGCCGAGCGCATCTTGCGACCCGCATGTTGTGTCAGCCTGCCACTGCAAGCAGCAAAGGCCGGAAGCTCTCTTTGCATCCTGATTCGTTATGCCTCCGAAGACAGCATCTGAGAGGATGGGCTGGAACGATGCCGCACGCCGTGGTCGCGTACCTTCAATCGTTTCTGCGGGAACTGGCTGTGAACCTCTCTGCCACGTTACAGGCTGTAGGACCAGTCAAGAGAGCGAGGTTGACAAATTGAGACCAAGCCACAGTCCCTTCAGAATAGACCATACCGGGCCGGGAATGACTTCTTCGAAGACTTTGCCTGTCTCGCGATTCAGGACCTGCCCAGTCACGAGTTGCACGGAGTCACATCAGATAACAACTGCTGGGAAAGTGCGTACCCAGGCTACGACGGCTAGGACCCGCTTTCAACCGCTGCTGTCGGCACGGCCCCCGTCCCGGGGTTTGACTAGCACATGCTGTCACAGAACTGAAACAATAAGGCCAAAGCATGGCGAGTGGAGCGAAAAGATGCTCCTGGAGTATCAACGGGACCGTTCTCCTGGCAGCTTCGACTGGGACGTGCTTCTGCCTCTGTGCTGTAGAACATGGTAGACATGACGTCTATCAGCCGAGGTGCAATTTGCCCCTCGCAGGAAGAACTCACGCAGCAACACCTTTTGGAAGAGCGGCATCCCATCGCAAGCTGTTCCTCAATCTACCGACTTTGAAGTTGCCACACCATGAAAGGATGCAGTAGACAAACCAACAAGTGCTGCTCGTGTTGCTGCTTTTCTAAGACAGACTTTGATGCGTTGCAACCTGGCTTGGCACGACTTCGTCTATGGCAGTACTGACCAATCGAATACTCCGAATGGTTCAAGTTTCGAATCCGATGCGCTCTCATCCGTCCTCAGTCTGCCTGTTGTTCATTGTGCCTAGGACACTGCTGTCTGCAGGCCCTGCCTTACTTCGTTGCACGGCACCGATATCAGATCTTTGATTTTCATTGTAGGATGCCTCCGAGCCAGACAGCCTCCAGAAGGCATGTTCCTTGATGGTGCCTAGCGGGTTCTGCTCCATGTGGGCGCAAACCTGAGAGTCTAGGTACTGCTTGGTAATGGGCCGAGAGCCGAAGCTGTGCTGAAACTCCCTGTTTAAGCGTGTAGCTGGAGAGGCTCAACATTCAAAAGTTGCTTTGCGGACGGCTTCGACATTAGACGACTCGCACACTCGCTCACAGGCAGGCGTGGCTTCGGGTCCGTCGAGCTTGCTACTTTACAGTACCACCATGGAGCAACGACGATGACAGTAAAACATACTATCGAACAAGAGAGCAGCAACGACAGACAGCCAAACCAGTACAGAGGGGTATATGTGCATGTCATCGTCATTGTCTGATGGCGTCGGAAGAGAAAGACATTGCCTCCCACGGTAGCTAGCGCCTGTTTAAAAAGAAGTCGAGATGACAACTTTTTCTTTTCACACCAGCCGGGCAGCCAAAACTGAGTTGGTGAAACAAGAATCTATGTAGAAGTTGATAGCGCTAGGTCCATCTGTGAATCTTTGGGCTTGAGATTTTGGGATTGAGTCTGAGATTTAGCTCCTCTATGATGCGTTATCCTACAGAGCTTTGCCAGACTTCGCAACAGCATGTCAGTGTGTCACTCTTTTGAAGGCGACACACTGGTTCAACACCTTATGCATTTGAGGTGCAGGGTTTCCGGCACTTCAAGTCTAGGACTGGGCGCAATGCACTTTTGGTTGAAAGGCTACCTTTCCTGATATTCGCATATGTCCAAAAAAAGAAAACTATGAACCTGATGCAGAAGAACTGAAAGGTGGGATACCAAGCATTGTGAAAATTGCTGTGCCTTGCAGTGGTCCTTCTTTCCGGGTCCTACTATTGCGTGGGTTCCGGAAGAATTCCCTAAACACTGCTCGAATCCGTTCATAGGTATGTCCCAGGGATCCAAAGCTTCAGATGGACATCATCGATCTTCCGAAAGAATCTCCTCGGAAAGGCCCTCCGGTTGCTTAGGGGTACCTTACTTTGGGGTCCGTATGACAAGGATCCTACCATTTAAGGGCAGTAAATTAGGGGCTTCTACCTGTCGGATCCCAAGTGCTTCGGCGTTCCTGTCCACCATGAGCACCTCGTAGTAGTCAGGCTGGTCTGGCATTGCTACAAGCTCCACGTGCTTGGGTGTGCTTGATTTCCGCAAAACTACTATATGACCCTCACGAGATAGCTGCACCCACCGAACTAGATAGAATGTAGAAATGTAGACATTGAGGGTTAAGGATTCAGGATGTCGATGATCTTGGCGTCTTGCAGTGCAGTATTAGCAGTCGTCATCATGGTAGCAATGACAACCTGATATTTGGAATCTCCAGAGTAGGACTTACGAATGACACGGCTCGACCTCGATGGCTGGCTTGAGCCAAAATGGCGGCCAAGTAGAAGTGAAGTCTTAAGGCAAGGGCCTTTAGGGCCAAAGGCCAAGGCGCATAGTTGCATGGAAAGCCTTTGTTCCGTGAATGCCGGCATAACTCATTACTGATTCGGAGCTTCCTACCCTCTTGCACGGGCACTACAACAGGACAGTTCTCGCATTTTGCAAGAGCTGCGTGAAATCTTGTGAGACATGGGATGCCTCCCGGCTGGCTTCTGTTAAGCCGGATCCGAAGCCAGAGCCGATGACAAATCCAAGCTTGTGACACGTATCGGGCATCAGAAGGACGCTTGGGTTCCATCCATGGTCTGCTTAGGCTCGCGTATTTCTGCCGGGGTGTCCTGTCAGTCTGAAGTTCGCAAAGGCATGGATCTCGAAGATCGCGATGCTCCTGCCTTTATGTCAATCAAGTGTATGGTGCAGTCTTCTGCAGATGGCTCACCTTCTGCGGCCTGCATGCGAACCCGCTGGAATGCAAGACACAACGAACCACTTCGCACTTCTGGCCTTCTGGATGACAAAATCAAGCTTACCTTAGCGCAAGCTTGTGGCCAAACTGGTGGCCTAGCTGAGGCCTCCGCACTGAGCCAAGCAGCTCTGCTTGATCTGAGTGTCGTTTTTGAGCTCTTCTCCTTGCACAGCAAGACAGCATGTGTGGAATGTATTGCTGAGCTGTGGAGCATGCGTGGCCTTGGTACACAAGTATCATGTCTTCAACCTAGGTCTACAAGAGCACTGCAGTTAGCTCGTTTCCGGACTGCTGTGCTAAGCTTCTCGCCGGGATCAACATTTTTCTAGCGGTATATCTTTTGAGCATGTGTACGTTGTCATTGATGGAGATCTCCACCTTCAGGCGCAGCAAAGTTGATGGCACCAGGCTAGCGCAGCAAACCCCCCTGAGTCACCGACCCAAACAGTTCTTGCATTCTTGACGTTCGTGATGAACAGCAGAAGTGGTCTGGCCGGCGGGGGGGCCACCTTTCAGTGGTGCTGAGGTCTCGAACGAAGTGCAGACATGGCGAAGCTTGTCTGGGCTCAGCCAGGTACGTAGTAACCATCGGGTATGGGCTGCGGAGCCGGAAGTGGCGTGGAAGGCCTTAGGCAAACTTGGAAGTCATCTCTGGGAATCGCCGCCTTCTATGTTTCCTGCCCTCGTGCTCGCTCCTCTGGCTCATTTTTGCATCTCCCCCTCGGCTTACAGCCTCAGCTTGGAGTTTGGAGTTTGTGTACTTGGCACACCCGTTTTGGTATTTTCAGCGGTGTGAAACCACATGCAATGGTTCGCAAGCACTTGTTGGGGCCACTGGCCCACCCCATGTTTCGTCGGGAGGTGAACCGATGTTCTCTCCCGTGGCTTGCTTCGAACTTGAGGAGCGGGATCAAAAAGGGATCAAACGCTAGACACCCGACGCCAGCATGTCATGACTGTTCCGGTCTCGGTAAAACCTGGTGCTGATAAGTAGCGTGATCACGCTTGCTTGCTGCTTGCTTGCTACAAGTACACGTGTGTGTGTGTGTGTGTGTGCGCGTGCGTACAAGGGCTTCTAAGGCCCCTGCGCTCACGTGCTATGCCCACGAGTATTGGTGTGATACACATCTGCTTCCCTCTCTCAAGCCCAAGCCACCTACCTCTCTTTCTCGCTCACTCTCACTCTCTCTTTCGCCAGGGCTAGGGTGTAGGGGTGTTACCCCTCACTCTCTCGCTCGCGAGCTCTCTTTCTGTCCAGCTCCCTTCTTGCAATGCTGAGTTTCGGGCATCGCGGCGGAGTCTGCAAAGACCCCCTTCTGAGCCAATGCTCGTGGGCAGTATGCTTACGGACCACTCAGTCGGTGGAGACTGTGAGGGTGCCATCCCTGCAAGCTGCTGCAAGCTGCATGTCCGGAACTCAACTTTTCCAAACGATCTCGTGCGGCACCAAGCTGGCAGTTTCCGCGCTGATTTGGAACAGCCGAAACGAGGCATAGTAGATTCATTTAGACTTCAATTGCTTTATGAAGTAAAACGGGCGGATGGCCCGTCTAATCATGAAATGCCGCTGCACCTCAGATGAACTTCTGCGCGAGTTTTCGGCACTCCTGCGTGTGTATTGAAATTGAACGAGCGGCACGCACAACAGACCAGCACCTCGCAAAGCGTCACAAACGGATGCATGTGCACTGGCTTTTGTCATCTCCGAAGGTGCGTGGTTCGTGCCAGCGTGTCATCGTCATTCGGCCTGCAGGGAAACGTGAGCAAGCTGCAAGGGGTGAACGGCGGGGTCTTGCTATGCTGCTATGCGAAGACCGTGATTTATCCTTCAACTTCGCACATGAACCCACACCTGCAGGACTTCCACAGTCAGGTGTCACACCTTGACCTTTTTACCGTACTCCCAAGGGTTGTTGAGCATGGTGCTGCCCGTCTTGCCCCACAGCCCTGGAGGTCGGCGGCGACCGCGTAGGCGGAGACCAGCTCCCTTCTTCATGTTGAGGATGTTTTCGGGCGTAGGTCGGATGCGCCCGCCGTTGTAAATCTTTGGGATGGGGATGGTGGTGCCCTCGAACCAGCGGATGTGCCGCTGCCTGACACCCTCCGGCCCCAAGAAATTGTAGAGCAAGAAGTCCTCGCAAACGTTGATGCCGATCTCGTTTGAATCACAAACGTCGTTGTACCTGCCAATCAGCTCCTGACGGTCCCATTCCAGATGGGAGGGAACATCAACCTCACCCTCTTCGTCCTGATGCTTGTTGGCGAGACCAATGGACCTCTTCTTCGGGCGAACGCGGATCTCGTCGCCCAGCATCAAAAGCGTGGATGGCACATTCGTTGTCACCCAGTCCGGTGGCTGCCAGTCGCTTTCCTTCGGGGTGTGGCGGATCTGGATGTGGTTCTCTCGGACCATCCATCGGGCAGCTGCCATGGTTGGTGCCAAGCCCACTCGCCAGAGGAAGTTGTCGATACGGCTCTCCAGGATTTGCATAAGACAATCGATTGGGTGCTTTCGACCCTCCTTGAAGGCACGCAAGACATACTTGGTCAACTGCGCGATGTTGATGTTGTAGTGGCAGGCGACGCGTGACCTCTCTATCCAGTAGCGACCCTTCATGGACAACTTCTTCGTGGGGCGCTTTCGCCACGGCTGCTTAAGTCTCTTTCGCAGAAGAGGCTTGCGCGACCAGGCGGGCATCTCCCCGAATGGCTCAAAGCGGCGCATGGTCTTTTGTCTGCTGCGCGCCCGAGTTGGGAACATTCGGACGACGACCT